ATTTGCTTAGTCATGGAGGTCGCTCGTACGTCCATGATCCATGCGGCTGCCCCCCATTTTCTGTGGCCGTTTGCGGTCTGGTACGCCGCGCATCAGCTCAACCTTTGGCCCCGTGTCTCCGTGCCGGAGACCTCGCCCACACTACGTTGGACGGGGAAGGCTGGCGATGCGTCGCGTTTCCGGGTCTGGGGTGCTCGTGCCTTTGTCCGCGATACCATCGCGGACAAGCTCTCCCCTTGCGCCATTCCCTGCGTCTTCCTTGGCTTTGTCCCTGACGCGCCTAGCTGGCAGTTCTACGACCCAGCCACGCGCCGTGTCTTTGCATCTCAGGACGTCACCTTTGATGAGTCTGTCCCCTTTTACCATCTCTTTCCCTACCGCAATGCTCCTCGCCCCCCCCCCCGCCACTCTTTCTTGCTCCAGGTCCTCCCCAGGTAGACCCCCTCCCCGCGCCAGGTCCTGCTCCTTCAGGTGTTTCTCAGGTAGACCCTCCCGTGCCTGCACCTATTGAGGTCACTGGTGACTCAGGTCCTGTTGCGGGTGGTCCTGCTCGTGGTGCTGTCTCTGGGGGTGCTGAGCCTGGGGGTGCGGAGCCTGAGCGTGAGGAGCCTGGGGGTGCTGAGCCTGGGGGTGCGGAGTCTGAGCGTGAGGAGCCTTGGGGTGCTGAGCTTGGGGGTGCTGAGCCTGCGTGTGAGGAGCCTGGAGGTGCAGAGTCTCGGGGTGCTGGTACTACTGCTCAGCGGTCTCCTTGGAGTAGCCGTCTTCGTGCGCGTGTGCTTCTCACCTCACAGCAGCTGCACGACTGGTACGGTCGCCGTCAGGGTCGCGCTTCTGGAGCTCGGGGCTCTGCTGCTGGAGGTACTTCTACTGCCGTCACTGGAGCTGGGAGTGGTGCTGGTCCCGGAGGTGCTCGTACTGGAGGTACTGGAGCTGCTGGGGCTGGAGGTGCTGCTGAGCCTGAGGGTACTCTTGGTGGAGACCCTGGGTCTGGGGGTACTGCTGCTATGGACACTGAGGCTGGTGACTCTGGGACTGGAGGTGCTGGATCTGGGGGTGCTTCTGCTGAGGGTGCTGGAGCTGCTGAGGGTGCTGGAGCTGCTGGAGGTACTGGAGCTGCTGGGGGTGCTGGAGCTACTGAGGGTGCTGGAGCTGCTGAGGGAGCTGGAGCCGCTGGTGCTGGTGGCGCTGCGCAGCCACGCCTTTTCTTTGCTCCGCCTTCTCCGTCGTCTCTGCCACCGCCTGCCTCCGTGCTTCGCAAAATTCTTAGCCTTCCGTCGTCTACTGGTCTTCCGTTACAGCCTGGCTCACCCTTGCCTGCTCCTCCTCCTTACACTGAGCAGTCAAGAGGTCTTGCTGAGCATCGTGAGTCTGCGTTGCGTCCTGTCTCGCTTCTCTGTTCTGGTCGTTCTGGTCGTCGTGTTCCTCGTCAGCGTCAGCCGGCTGTTCCAGGCACCCACCTTGTAGTTCCTCGTCTTTCCTCTTCTTCGCCTTGTGTTCCTTTGCCGTCCCCTCATGAGTCCTCTCTGCCTGTCACTGCCGACCCTGAGTCTAACCAGTTTCGTACTGAGCACCCTACGGTCACACGTCTATTAGCCATTGTTGTCACTGACCCGTCGTTTGAGTCAACTGCTGCGTCTTCCCTTGAAGCTGAGCTTATCGACTTTGATGCTGCGTGTCGTCTAGACTCCGGCGCTAGTCTTGTTGCTGAGTCTGAGTCTGTCTGTCCTCCGTCCGTCGGGGGTGAGTGTGCTCTTGACACGGACGTCCTTGAGGACAGGCAGGAGGACCTTGAGTGTCTTGCAGCCGCTGCGCCTCATCTCGTGTCCATGCTGCTTGCCCTTGAGGGAGACCCGGATGCTCCAGACATCCCGACCCCGTGCTCTTACGCTGAGGCGATCGCGGGTGAGTACTCCTCTCAGTGGCAGACAGCCATGGACGCAGAGATGGCATCCTGGAAGTCCACAGGCACCTACGTCGACGAGGTTCCCCCTCCTGGGGCGAACATCGTCAGTGGCATGTGGATTTTCAGGGTGAAGCGGTCGCCAGGTTCTCCGCATGTCTTCAACGCTCGTTACGTTACTCGAGGTTTCAGTCAGCGAGAGGGAGTTGACTTCTTCCAGACCTTCTCCCCCACCCCGAAGATGACCACTCTTCGGGTGTTGCTGCACGTTGCTGCTCAGCGTGACTACGAGCTTCACTCTCTTGACTTCAGCACAGCTTTCTTACACCTGGGTGAGCTGCGCAGCTACCTTGGCTTGCAGATCACCCGGGATAGAGCACGCCGCACCATCACATTGACTCAGTCACACATGGTGCAGCAGGTCCTTCAGCGCTTCGGCTTCATCTGGTCCTCAGCACAAGCCACTCCTCTGGCTACAGGTCACTCGCTCTCAGCTCCACCTTCGGACGAGTCCGTAGAGCCGAGTGGTCCTTACCCAGAGCTAGTGGGCTGCCTCATGTACCTGATGACCTGCACTCGTCCTGACCTTGCGTACCCTCTTGGCCTTCTGGCTCGCTACGTGGCTCCTGGTCGGCACCGAAAGGTGCACATGGATGCTGCTAAGAGGGTACTACGCTACTTGTGCAGTACATCAGCCATGGGGCTTGTGCTTTGAGGACGGGACGACGTTGTCCTCTCCGGTCACTCGGACGCTTCTTGGGTTGATGACCAGGCTACGCAGCGGTCGTCACTGGGTTACACCTTCACCCTTGGCTCTGGCTTTGTTTCTTGGCGTTCTACACGCTCGTCTTCCGTTCTCGGCTCCAGTTGTGAGGCTGAGATCTATGCCACAGCCATGGCTGCACAGGAGTTACGCTGGCTCACCTACCTGCTGACCGACCTGGGAGAGCGGCCTCGTTCTCCTCCAGTGCTGTACGTCGACAACAAGGCCGCCATTGCCTTGTGTTAGGAGCACAGACTGGATCACAGAACGAAGCATATCGCTCTGCGTTACTTCCTGGCTCGAGAGTTGCAGCAGCGTGGTCAGCTTCGTCTTGCTTACATGGCCACTCGGGCCAACACTGCTGATATTTTCACCAAGGCACTTCCGTCTGGTGATCATCAGCGCTTTTGTACCTTGTTGGGCCTTGTGCCTATGTTTCCTCACATACTGTAGGCTTTACCTGTACTGTGATCTATATATATAATTGCATGCTTATACCTGCTAGGTTGTGATTACTGTATTGCTTGTGCTTTTATAACTCTGCATGTGAACAGGCCTTGTGGCCTCTTGCTTGTGATCAGGCTGTGTGGTGACTTTGTGATCCACCCTGAGCTGTGCTTTGTTTCTTCTCTTGACTGGTCTTATGACCATTGTCCTTGCTCTGGCTATCCCCTATTTCGCCTATGGGGGTGTGTCAAACTATGTACATATTGTTTAGTTAGGCTGTATCGGGGCTAGCTTTAGGGGGTACACAATTTCCCTCGACATTCTAGTCTTGTACCCACCTTGACCTAATACAATCACTTTTGCCTAGGTATTCTAATAATAACGATCGCAACGACTGCCAGGCGGAGGCGGGACCTTGGTGCACAGAGTGGTGATTGACGACCCGATAAGAATACTTGCATATTTCGAAAAAAGAAACATATACATGTATACCAATATACTAAAAGTATTGAAATTAAAAGCCAATATGAAAGGAATGCTCTGACACATAAATCGACATCCATTATGCATGTATATCTGTAAGAAGGATAGTAAACTTACGAGATTTTGTTTGCATTTTTTGCTAATATGATTAGATGTTTGAATGACTTCTAGGTTGAGGTGGGAGTTAGTTGGTGCTTCATGCTATGAATATAGCAATATCACTTGTTTTGCTGTAGCTATACGAGGCTATTGCTTCTTGCGAAAGGATATTTTCGTTCAGATTTGTCGCAACCGTTTCCCGAAACCTCTCGCCCCGTCGAAATCGTTGCATTGCGGAGCGAAAACAAATCAGCCGCTGATATTGCGGTTGTTCCCTAGGCCCCAAAATCCTCGTTAGCCAATCCGGTGCCGCTGAGTGGAAAGTTGGGGATAAGGCGAGCAACTCCAGGGTTCAATCAGAGGGGACCAGAGTCCAACGTTCTCGTGCCTGCATCGTCCATCCAAAAGATAGTGGACCGCCTCCCTCCTGTTTGACGCCTGGTAGCATTCTCCTTTTCGATCTCTTCAGCTCAACTCAGCTACCTCGTCCACCTCCTCACAGCTCAATGGCTGCCCTCGCCTCCTCTCTCAGCTCCGTTGCTGCTGCAGCACCCCTGAAGGTGGCTGTCAGCAGCAAGGTCTCTACCTCCCGTGTTGTGAGGTTGACCGTCCGTGCCGAGGAGAAGGCCGCTGCCGCTGCTCCCATTGGCCCCAAGCGCGGTGCCACCGTGAAGGTCCTCAGGCCCGAGTCGTACTGGTTCAATGACACCGGCAAGGTCGTTTCCGTTGACCAGGTGAGCGGACGTTACTTACTGTCGCGTTAGGTAGAGTTGCATCGGTCAGATCGCTTTGGCGTAGTTTGTGTCCTCCCCAGCTTGCTCACTTTCCTCTCCCAATCTTATGTGCAATGCAGAGCGGCATCCGCTACCCCGTTGTCGTGAGATTCGAGAAGGTGAACTACGCCGGCGTGTCCACAAACAACTTCTCTGTGGATGAGGTCGTTGAGGTCTAAATGTACAGCGGCTAGTAAATGTCTACTCTGTATGGCCTCTGAGTAATTGAGCTGCCTTCACACTTCCCGTTTTGTTTAGGTGGTACTATTGCTAAGATATACACGGGAAACTGATCTGCATTTATTCGTTGCTCTTCGATCGCCGAAAATAAGAATGCGTGGTGAAAATAGTAAGTTAGAAAATGACAACCGTAGTAGGGATTCCAGAAGGACGTCCAATCTCCACGGTCAGCTCCTGAAGATAATATCTTGCCTCTGACACTTCCGTCATAAATGCAGCCTCTTATACGCATCACTAACATTAGTTCACCTTTCCTAAAGAACAGACCAGCGCTTAATACGGCGCGAATCAGCATTTAACCGCCACACCAAGCAAGGAGCTCGATCTGAGCATGAGACATAAACGTGCAAGAAAGAGTAGATGCATTGATAAGCAAGGCAGTTGTATATTATTTTGTTCATGGATTCTGCAGACAGTCATCAACTACCCTCCTAAACAGCCCTCTAACCTCTGCCAGATCCTCCTCCACCCCGTTCAACTCTGCTGCCATCTCCCTTGCGACTGCTTCATTCTCAGCATTCAGCTCTGCTACACGTTGAAGCTGCTCCTCTTCTGTCAAGTCAATGTCAGGAGGTAACGCATCCACAAGCATGTCAAACAGCTTCAACGCCTGAACCAAGGCTGATGCCATCTCAGGAACCTGCTCTATCACAGGAACTGCTGGTGCCGCAGTTACCGATGTGTCAGTTCCTCCTGCGGCTGTTCCTTCAGCACTAGGCCCAACGGCTCCGTTAGGGGCTGCGGCTCCATTAGCTACTGCGCCTGGCCCCGTCGAAGCAGCTGTTGGTATGGCGGCACCTGTGTTCCCTGCTCCGGTGGCTGTAACCAGCTGACCGTTTCCAGGTGCAGCTGGTGTGGTTGGCGCGGGTAGAGGTTTACCAGGAATGGTTGACGGAGTGGCATCTCGTTGAAGCGTGCCAACGGTGTTGAAAAGGAGGAAGGCGATGTGGTTGGTGTGGTCTTGGAGCTGTGATACTATGTCCATGGCGATTTCGAGAGGTGATGTAAAGAGAGGAAAAAGAACAGTACGGTATGTATAACGTAGGACGTCCAACGTGGTAGACGTGACTAACAGGCCCTAAGAGTCGATTACGAACCGCACGCCCTAATCTCCATGGAACCCTGCTGTGCCGTGCCTAGCTTGCTGATCCTGGAAGCTTCGGCAGGCATCAGAACAGTGTAAGCAATGAATGGAAATCCGTGTCAAGAATTAGGGAACTGGAGGATGGTTTTGATATTGGGGAGCACTTCAGCGGGGACAACTGTCCAGCTGGTTCTGAAGGATCTTACGTGGCGGCACTTTCGGCTTCACATTCTCTTCTGTCACAACTCATCTGCCAAAACACAAGGACGGCACAAAAACTGCAATAACTTCGCTGTGGGCCAGATATGTCCTGCAAATGCTGCATTTTGAAGCTGATTTGTGATAATATAAACGCATGAATTCTCGCCCTATCCCGTTTTCCACGTGGTCTTCGGACGGGGGTGGTGTTGAAGAAATATACAACGGTTTTGTTCGTATTTATGCGTTTCCAATCGGTAATTAGCGAGAAACGTCTCGTACCGAGAACCCAACTTGAACCACATCGGTTTTGTTCGTATTTATGCGTTTCCAATCGGTAATTAGCGAGAAACGTCTCCTACCGAGAACCCAACTTGAACCACATCTGATGACGAAGGGAAAGCGAGGCTCCATCTCCTTACATCCTGGACACTCTATCGTGAGGAGCCATTTTGAGGACTTGATCCTCCTTATCTTTCAACAGGCGAATCGCCGCCGTTGATAGCACCTGCGCCACCGCACACAGCACTTTCATCCTCCCGTGCCGCGCGATCAACCTAACAGACCAATCCCGCCCACAATGGCGGCTGCAGTCGCTGAGAACATCTCCGTTAGCTGCCGGCAGCTAATAAAAAACGTGACGGTCGAGTTAAATGGACGGAAAAGCGTCAACCTTCAGACGCGGTACGACAATTAAGAACCAGCTGCCGGTGTTAGACGACCGTTTCTTGACCCGTTTATTTATCAATGAGGTGATAACTGAAATATCTCATTCTGCGTGTTTACGTGTGTCGCACTCAGCTCCCTGTCGCGCGGTCAGCGGAAGGAGCTCGCAGCTCTGCGCGTCCAGCTCAGGAAATCCGCAGCTCGCTCCGGTGAGTGCATTTTACAAGGTCCTCTGGTAAGTGCGAGTTCTTGGTCTCCCCGGCGTTGTAAGGCCAGCGGTTATGCCGCGGTTTCACTGCAGCGTTCCCAGTCGCTAAACCCCAGCGTGCAGCAGCGCTGGCTCGCAGGATTCGCCATTGCGTACAGAGTAATCCGTCGCCGAAATCAGAACGTCCCATCGGCTTTCGTCTCTGCTATTCCATCTTCAAAGCTTCCGTTGATCTGCCTTTGAGGCGCCTCAAAAGGAGAACGTCTCCTCGGGTTTCGTCTCTGGCTCTCTGCCGTTGCGTCTCCAACACCCGCCAGCTGTCAGCAGCGTAGCATCCGTTCTTGCTTCACCGCGCTTCCCTCTGACCCGCCAACTGTCAGTCAGCAGCATCCGTTGCTGCTTCACCGCTCGTCCCTGTGTGTGTGATCCGCCCGTCTAGTCTTCATTTACCGCCAGTGTCTTCCAGCAGTAGCAGCAGCTGCCAGCTGCCTGTCACCCCGCAGCCGCAGCAGCAGCAGCAGCAGCCGCAGCAGCAGCAGCAGCAGCAGCAGCAGCAGCAGCAGCAGCAGCAGCAGCACCACACATGGCTGCAGAGGCGGCGAGGAAACTAACTTCACAACAAACCTTCTTCCCCCCTCCCGCGTCTGTTCTCCGCAACAGCGGTCACAGCAGCAGCAGCATCTCGCCCCCCGGTGGCAGCAGCGGCGCACACGGCAGAGGCGGTGGAGAGCTTGAAGCTGGAGCCCATCTTCCTGGTTACACCCCCGTCTACATGTTGCCGTTCATTACATGCCCCCTCCCCATCCCTCCAGTGATCACATCAGCAGCAGCTTCAGCCCGCCCCCCGGTGGCAGCAGCGGCGCACACGGCAGAGGCGGTGGAGAGCTTGAAGCTGGCTGGAGCCCATCCCCATCCCGCCGCTCACTACACATCGCTTTCCCGCTCACTACATGTCCCTTCTCCCCATCCCTCCAGTGGTGGCAGCGGCGCACACGGCAGAGGCGGTGGAGAGCTTGAAGCTGGAGCCCATCACAGCCTGTCTTCCACAGCAGATTGCCATTCGAATGTGTGCTTCTCCTCCCACTGCCTGACCTCCCAGCAGTGATTGTAGCAGCAGTCGCCCGTGAGCCGGTGGCCGCAGCGGCGCACACAGCAGAGGCGGTGGAGAGCTTGACTTGAAGCTGGAGCCCATTGGCCCACCCTTTCCCCATTCCCCTCCCCAATGTGCCGTTCATTTCGTGTCTTTCCCCATCCCTCCCTCCAGTGATCGCAGCAGCTTCAGCGCGCCCCCCGGTGGCAGCAGCAGCGCACACAGCGGAGGCGGTGGAGAGCTTGAAGCTGGAGCCCATCGCTCAGATCAGCGGCACCGTCAACCTGCCCGGCTCCAAGTCCCTCTCCAACCGCCTCCTGCTGCTTGCTGCCCTTGCCAAGGTGGGCTGAAAGGGCGCTGTTGCCAAAGTCAGGTGGTAGAGGGTCGCTCAGATCAGCGGCACCGTCAACCTGCCCGGCTCCAAGTCCCTCTCCAACCGCCTCCTGCTGCTTGCTGCCCTTGCCAAGGTGGGCTGAAAGGGCGCTGTTGCCAAAGTCAGGTGGTAGAGGGTCGCTCAGATCAGCGGCACCGTCAACCTGCCCGGCTCCAAGTCCCTCTCCAACCGCCTCCTGCTGCTCGCCGCTCTCGCCAAGGTAAGGTAGCAAAAGGGTGACCTTGCCAAGGTACAGCTACGGGGTGTATCCCGCTGTTCCGCCTCCTTGTTTCCTTCGATTTGACTCCACGGCACCGTCAGCCTGCCTGGCTCCAAGTCGCTCTCCAACTGCCTTCTGCTGCTCGCCGCTCTTGCCATGGCGCCGGCCATGGCGGCGTGCGTGAACTGCGGCGACATCGACCGCGCGCTCGACCTATCATAGACAGTAAGTCGGATGAGCGGCATCGTCAACCTGCCCGGCTCCAAGTCCCTTTCCAACCGCCTTCTGCTGCTCGCTGCTCTTGCCAAGGTATGCTAGAAGGAGGCGGGTCAGCAAGTGCCTCATCCCCTTGCCCTCTGGTGGAGATGCGTGCATAACACCCTCATGCCCTTCCTATCACCCAAACACCCCTCTTCCCCCGTCGCCTCCACCTCTTCCCCCCGAACCCACCTCCCCTCGCCTCCCATCAGGGCGAGACGGTGGTGGACAGTTTGTTCGCCGGTGACGACGTCACCTACATGCTCGCTGCCCTGCGCTCCCTGGGAGTGCCTCTCGTGGAGATGAGGCATACCCTAATCACCCCTGTTCCCCTCGCCCGCACCCCCTCTCTCTCACTCAGGGCGAGACGGTGGTGGACAATCTGCTGGCGAGCGATGATGTCACCTACATGCTCGCTGCCCTGCGCTCTCTGGGAGTGCCTCTCGTGGAGATGCCTGAGAAGCGGAGGGTGATAGTAACCGGCAGCGCAGGGGTGTTCCCCGTGGGCAGGGAGGAGGAGGGGGAGGGGGCGGAAACGGTGGATCTGTTTCTGGGGAACGCAGGGACCGCCATGCGCCCGCTCACTGCTGCCGTGGCCGTCGCAGGAGGGAACAAAAGGTGCGTCCTTTAGGGGGAATTGGGGAAAGAGGGCACGGAGGGGTGGAAAGAGGGTGGGGAGGGGTGGATCTGTTTCTGGGGAACGCGGGGACCGCCATGCGCCCGCTCACTGCTGCTGTTGCCATGGCTGGAGGGAATAAGAGGTGAGACCTTTAGGGGGAAAGAGGGGAAAGAGGGGGAGAGGGCGGAGGTGGTCTGGGGAATGCGGGGATCGCCATGCGCCCGCTCACTGCTGCTGTGGCCGTGGCTGGCGGCAACAAGAGGTACGTTTTTTGGGAAAAGATGAGGTGCGGAAGCGCCCCTTAGGCGACCTGGTGGCGAGGCTGCAGCAGCTGGGGTGCAATTGCGAGTGCTCCCTGGGCACCAATAACCTTCCTTTATCTCTCCCAACGTCCTGCCACCGCTCTGCACTGCCCACCCACCCTCCCCACCAGCTATGTGTTGGATGGAGTCCCCAGGATGCGTGAGCGACCGATAGGCGATCTGGTGGCGGGGCTGCAGCAGCTGGGGTGCGACTGCGAGTGCTCCCTCGGCACCAACTGCCCGCCTGTGCGCGTGGCAGCAAAGGGGGGCCTCCCTGGCGGCACAGTAAGTGCCTGGGATGTAGTAGTGATAAGGGTTCCTAGAGATGGGTGAATTGGCAGCTCAGCAGCAGCAGCAGCAGCAGCAGCAGCAGCAGCAGCAGCAGCAGCAGCAGCAGCAGCAGCAGCAGCAGCAGCAGCAGCAGCTGGGGTGCGATTGTGAGTGCTCTCTGGGCACCAACTGCCCGCCTTTGCGCGTGGCAGCAAAGGGGGGCCTCCCTGGCGGCACGGTGAGTAGTACCTAGAGGGGGGTGCAAGAGGTTGGTGTAGCACCGAACTCGTTATCTCAGACTTTCTAACGACCAAAAACGGTTGGGTAAGTTTGATGTATGTGGAATCAACTTAGTCTATGGTCCTGGACTGGACGTTGGCAAGGCAAGATTGGTTATGAACCTCTGGCGGTGAGGTTAAGGGCTGCATGAAGATTGGTTATGAACCTCTGGCGGTGAGGTTAAGGGCTGCATAAAGATTGGTTATGAACCTCTGGCGGTGAGGTTAAGGGCTGCATAAAGATTGGTTATGAACCTCTGGCGGTGTTTTGAGTCGACTCAAAACACACCTGAATCTGGCGGTGAGGTTAAGGGCTGGATAAATGCGGCATGGAAATGACTCCCTCTCTTCCTGCTGCTGCACTCCCCTTACCTTCTTCCTCGACCTCTTCTTCCTCTCTCCCATCCTTCCGCATTCCC